TGATGTTTGTTTCATATAATAATTTCATGACTATATTTACACTCATGAAGTAGTCATGTGTTTACTTTATCCAGCAGTCATATGATACTTATATCTCTACACCACTTAAGGGCCTCAATTGTCTGTAACGTAGTAAAATACTTGAAGGTTCAGAACCTATGAAGATATATGCACGTTTTATCTCTAAAACATGATTGAACAAGCATATTTAAAAAAAAAACCCATTGATTTCCGACATAAGTGACGTGCTAGGTGGACTTTGGACTGTATTGACACGATTGAGGAATTCCATACAACATATGTAAGTAAAAATAACGTATTTCTTTTGATTAAAATCTTATTACGAGTATTCATATACATTTCTCTGTTAAAGCACCTTATTCCGAAACCATTAGACATATTTAAGATTAATTATTTTACATATTCATTAATTTCGTTTAAATTTATTGTCAAATCTCCATGTCTTTAATTGACATTTTTCTGATTATTGAACATTCTTTTTTTTTTTTTTTTTTTTGCAGTGAAGCAAAATGTTTCATTACCTAAACACCTCATGTCCCTATGCTAATTGGATGCAGACTGCTACCAAGTTATGTGCCGACTCCAATAGATATCACTGTCTAAACAATGAAATAGGTCAATCTGGATGGATTTGTGTGGATTACATATTGGTGGAACGTGGTAACTTTGTGCATTATCTTGAAATAATATTTGGAGATCATGATTACACGATAACTAAATATTATCTTAATGAATGTATCTATTCTACTTGTAATTACTGATTTGAATTCATCAACCGTGTTTTTTCTGCATTTTTGTGTAAAGTCATTTTTAAAGAAACGCATGAATTAGTAATCAAAGTATCACAATGCAGGTGCTCTTTTTTAAAATTCCTTTTTAAAGGATATCTACGTTAATGAATACTCACATACTTTTTACAATGTATCCATTTAAGAAAAATGTCTTTCCCATGCATAAAAATTATTTCATTTCTATCTCAGGTAGGTGCCTAGAATTCAATTCAGTCGCAAAAAAGTTGGATACGATTCCATGTGTCGGCAAACATTGTCCAGATACATTTTATAAGTCCAACGATCTTCATTTATGTGAGTATTTCTCGTCTTTTATCGTACACTTGGAACAAACATGGGATCAATTAACACGTGCACGTAGCTAACAAATGAATAAGAATTTGTTTTAGGAAGACTTGAACTATTTATCATTTGGTAGAGTACGTGTTCATTTCCTACCATAGTTTACCGTGCATTTATTTATTAAAAAAGCTGAAATCTATAATACCTGATGAAGAGGCTTTCATGTAAGATCTTGTATGACAAATATGGCTTTTAAGAAAAGACGTTTTAAGCTCCTTATTCCTGTTTACATGTATACTTTACAATGTAGATCTTTGATCGCCATTTGTAGCCTTTCACTACAGCCGGGAAACAAAGAAGTGGAGAGTAGGGGGAGGTTTAATGATTTCAACAAGACTCATCTTTACTAATTATAGAAATCATAATACACTGCCTGATTTGTTGGGTATGCCAAGGCATTGAAAAAAAAAATAAAAATGTGGGATAAGTCCTTTGTGCAAAAATCTTACTATTGCTAGTTTTTCGTTTTTAATAGCTATGCAGCCATAAGCACCTAAGTAAAAAATCATTTAAATAAGCTGTTTTAATTTTTCGGAAATTCACAAGGCCAAACATTGACTTCCAGTTAATAAACCTTGTAAACGAATTTCACTTCTAACCTTTCAAAGAAATTAAATGAATTTGTTCATTGTTTGATATTGGAATATGAGTCATGAGTAATGAAGATTTGTTTTGTAATTTTGGAAAATTCATATGCCACAAAATGTCATAATGAATTATACATCAGCAAAAGTAGGCACCTTAATTGTAGTATGCACTAAAGATCAATTGCTGATTCTGATGAAATTGTAAAATATAAAGGCAGAGTGTTCGTTGGAAGATACAAGTGTATTGTGTCATAGGTACATTTTTACACATAATAAATATGCTTCTTATATAATTGGCAAAACAAATCAAACCAGTTATACTGAGTATTTTATCTTTTTCAGATTTGGGTTGCAGGAGAGAGAGAGATGAGAAGTAAGTTATGTTTGAAATTTGTCCATAACTTATTTGTTGTTTTCTTTTTTTCATTTGTGCAAAACTTGAAACGAAATATTAGAGAAGAAATTTAAATAAAAAGAAACATTAAAGAGGAAATTGAAATAAAAAAAAATCGTAACCTAAGAGTAGTAAATGAAGAAGTAGAAATGTTATGGATTGTGGATAACATTACATTAAGAACTATGTACATATACATTGATTAGGACAACATCCACAAATTCCTTGGGTCTCACAACAGAAGTCAGTGCTTTGGGTGCCTCTGAAGTTATTGGTATTACAGTTGGTGTTATCATTGCGATAGCTATTAGCATCATTGCTGTTGCAGTCCTGTGTTTTATTTCAAGGAGTGAGTAAATGACTTTCACTTTTTAAAAAATCCTTTCTTTTAAACAGATTCAATATACAAAGCAAATACTGTAAAGAAGAGTTTGTCATGATGTGTATACATCTATTCAATTTTTTTTTCATGTCAACGTATAATTGAAGCAGATATATAGGTAGGAAAATTCTTAGTTTTTAGGATGTGGTAAAATTATTACAATTCAAAGAAAATGTTCGTCAGCGGGATATGTTTTAAAACAAAAGCGTTTAAATTTATAATATGATTATTTCCAATTACCTGGAAGTAGAATAAAAGTTCTCTTTATGCTTTTCTGAAAGAGAAAAAGAAGATTAGTGTTGCAATTTATTACTTCAGTACCCACAAATAGTTAATTTATTCACTTTGTCAAATTTCTTATTTACGTCTGCTTGTCTGCTTATAAGAAATTTTGTTTTTCCATGATCTCTGAACAATCTCTGAACAATCACAATTTCTTATAGCAAATAATATAGTTAATAAACCTCTCTTATGCCTAGAGAGTGTTGCTATAATCTCACTATCTGGTCTGGAAAATAATTATGTATATTTATATTACACAGGTATTTTCCATATACAGTGCAGTGCCAAAAGTGTTTCACGTTTTTATTCCCGCTTTTACGAGGGTTGTTCCAAAATTATTGAGACATTGTGTATATTTTGCTTTCTAATGAAAATCGATGAAAATAAATCGGTATACCTGTTGATCTATAACTTTAACTCCATACGTTCGCGATATTTACTTATATTTACATTACACAGGTATTTTGCATATACAGGGCAGTGCCAAACGTGTTTCACGTTTTTATTTTCCGCTTTTATTGATAAATATTTCATAGTTGCATTCTTGCAAATATTTCTGAAAATACGATGTCAATCCCAATTTTAGACAGTATTATATTTAGCTTATCTGCGTCACACAGAAATTCACCTGCTCACGCGGGTTTATTTTTTTATACAGAAGCAGAGGTAAACAAAACTTGGCTTAAAATCGCTGAGAAATGATAAGCGATCTAAAACAACAAATACTAACTTTAGCTAATGAGGGTAGAAAAAAATTTGAAATAGCACAAATAACTGGATACGATCGATCTACCATATCAAAGTTTTGGAAACGTTATGCAACAAGGAAAAGTATTGAAAATGACCCACAAAGCGGACGACCTAAAAAGATATGTGTCCAGTCCGAACGGATTTTCAAAAGTTTAGTTCTTCGAGATGGTAGACAAAATTTAGGAGATTTAACAGAAGAATTTAATCGTTCTGTGCCTAGTCCAGTTTCTAAGCGATCTGTCCAGACGAAATTACATCTGTTGAATTACACATGACATAAAGTAGTGAAAACGCTCACAACAGCTGTAACAGAGAAAAAGACGAATTGATTGGTGTAAAAACCCATAGAAATTGGAATGTAGATAAACAGTGGAAAATATAATATTTTCTGATGAAACACAAGGTTTTCTTGTGTCTGATCAACGTGTGTACGTTTGGAGGAAATCAGATGAAAAGTGGAGGTCAGAGTGTTTAGGACTGCGTTCAGTGCGTAATGGCGGCGTCCGTATCAACGTCTCATTTTGGGGCTGTATTTCCTACTTTGGCGTTGGTACCCTTAACCCCATTGGTGGTAATTTAAATACAGAGAAGTATATAAATATTTTGGACAATCAATTATGGCAAGATATCGCAAACATTTTGGTAGTTGTCTATGGATTTTTCAAGATGACAATTGCTCCTGCCACATGTCTGAACGGGCTAGAAATTGGAAAAAAAAAAAATGACAAATATATTCCGTGTTTAGACTGCCCATCACTATATCCTGATATAAATGTTATAGAAAATGTCTTAAGAATTATAAAATCCGACTTGGGCCAGATCAACACCAGATGAAATCCGAACAAGAAATTGTAAAATGCTGTGTTGCGGATCTGGGACTCGTTGAATCCAAGCTATATACAGTGTCTCTACGGAACCTTACTTATTTAGAAGAATACAAGCTGTTCTAAAATCCAAGGGTCATGCTACAAAGTACTAAAAGTTTCAAGGTATCATCTTAAGTGGTATTATTGTAAACAAACTTTATTTTACCCTAAGATCATGTACTTAGAATTTGCAACGCCATGAAATCGTGAAACACTTATGGGACGCTACTGTACATTGTATGTGAAAATTTAAGACATTTAAAACAACATTTCACGGAAGCGGGGACAAAAGTTAAAGAAAGCGTTTTATTTTGACATTGAACGCCGTGGAAGTGCAAGTCATATGCGAAAATCAATTACCACGCTCACTTTGAACTTAGGTTGTTGCATTGGTTCTTCCATTGACTGGAACTTACCCGAACGATAATACAGGAATTTTGAAATATAACTCATATTTGTAATGAAAAGCATTATGAGTTAAGAATGTTAATATAAGCGATGAACCATTATTTTTATTTTTTGAAAGACATAGTCTCTTAACTGCAACGATGTGTGCAAACAGATTTTCATAACGAGCTAACACGCGTTTTTAAATTTATTGTACGCAATAGTTATGAGAGTATATCTTTTTGAATATAATGATTCATTGCTTATTACATAATTAAACGACCTTTACATATCGTTTTTGTCGTCTTATCAAAATTTGTGCATAAAAAAATAGTTTTTGTTGATAAATTCATGTTTCATTTTCAGGCGTTAAATCTCTAAAATAATAAGTTTGTTTTTTTTAAAAAAAAAAACGTGTTCTATAATTTACATCATATCAATTATCATGACGTCGTTTAGTATCACTGAGAATTTCTGGATGTTTCCTAAACACATTTTGCAAAAAACACATCTATGGGTAAAATGTTTAACTTGTAAAAAAAGAAGGATTTTCGTACTGAATTTATTCATAAATTCATTCTTATATTTATATATTCATTTATAATTTTTTTTTATTTACTTATTGCAACTTTCAAAATTCCGATGAGGTTAAAAATGTACGAAGGATATTATTGGAAATAACGAACAGTTTTCAATATCAAAGTCTATAAAACAATACAAAATAGGAGCAGAGCAAACACGGACATCCAAAACATCAGAGGTGGGATCAGGTGCCATAGAGGAGTGGATCTCCCCTTGTCATGATCGGGAAATAACCGAAAAATCCACTTTCAATTCATAATGATAAATTTTATTTGCATTTTATTTGCAGACGAGGTCTTTGTATCGACCATAGAACTTACGAAATGATGATTGAAACAAGACTGTTAATATTAAAAGTAGCTCACGGAACAAAGTCATCATGTGTACTATTAAACTTTATTCGTTTAAAATGTAGAACATCTTAACTTTTTTTCAGTGAGACAACAGAACAAAAACTCCAAGAACCCAGAAGAAGAAATAGCAATGCTGGCTACACCTGAACCAGATGATGAAAGGTCATTTTCTCGAGCACAAAGAGCTCTTCGTACAGAAAGATTTGTCGTCATAACGGGAATACAGGGAGCTGGAAAAACATTTATAGCTAAGAGACTTTGCAATGAATTGTTCAAAGAGGAAAAATATGTTTGGATAACCGATCCGAATGCTTTCACTGTACTTTCAAATTTTGAAAGCCCATTTGTTCTTGATGATTTATTCCATGAACTTCAGCCAGAAGATACAGTTAGAGAAATAAGAGAAAAGATTGATTCTTTGTATGAAAATGTTGTGGCAAAACAGAAATATTAAACTTACAAATGAAATTGAATAACATTTCCAGTAAAAATTCAAAAATTGAGGACTCTTCAATCGCAATTGGAGAAAAAGATGTTCAAAGGATGGTTGACTTCAACTCTGAAGGGGACTGCAATTCTCTTGTGGAAAAAGGTATGGGGTATCCAGCAGCTATAGCAGTGTGTTGTCGGATTAATACAGACAATTTAAAAGAATTCAATAAAAAATGTGGGAAATATGTGAAATCTCCAATGTCATGGCTACGGAATGATCTGAAAGAAATGGTAAATGAAAATAACATTGAGAGGAGAACCGAAGCCATTGCCCTCTGTTTACTTGCTCTACATGGCGGAGAGCTTACATTCAGCAATATGAATACAACAATACTGGACAAATTACTAGAACTTGAACATGTAAAACCTGCTGAGGAAGAGTTCTTGAAACAAGCTTTTAATAAGCTAAAAAGTAAATACGTCGATGAAAATGAGGGTGTATTTTCATTTCAAGTATCAGTTGTCATGAAAGTTCTCTTTGTAATTATTTGTGAGAAACATAAGGAACTTCTTCAGCTGTGTGAAAAAGATTTATGTGAACGTCGAGTCTGTCAATCTCCCAAATTTCCAAGTGATTTTAGAGGCGACTATGCAAAGTCCTATCTGATTCAAAAGTCAAGTATTTAATTACATTTACAAAGTATTTACAAATATACATTTACAACGTATAACTCTATGAAAAAAATAATGGTTATCTCTGTCCAAAATTTTCGAAGAGCATATAATATAAATGTATTTAATTGATCATTTTTTCTTCGACATGGAGCTGGAGTATGCATGGAGAATAGCTCTTAAAATATTTTTCTTTACATGTCAAATATGACAGAAGATCAAATTATATATATATATATATATATATATATATATATATATATATATATATATATATATATATATATATATATATATATATATATATATATATATATAAGCAGTTGTTTCATTACCTTATTGTATTGCATTTAATCAAATATTGTAAGCTTAAAGATGTAGTATGGAAAGTATTTATTATTTCCTATCTATAGTTAAACTTTTTATTACTCATTTATGTATTTTTTTATCTCGGTTTCACTTTTACCAATAGAATTAAAAGTTACCGTAGAAAAGTGAGAGACTAAAAAAAGTGAGAGCAAAAGTCAGCTCATCTGCCTTTTATGGCTCCTGAGCCAGATTCAAGATTTGATGCAAATCAACTCGTGTTCATCTTTAAAATCATTTGTGGTTCATGTAAATCTTAAAGCTGTTTCGGAATAACATGCACCAACCTTAGCACTTTTTTCGAGAATATAGAAAACGTTAAACAACTCTGGAAGTGTGAATAAATAAATTTTATATTATCTTTTTTTAAGATAACATTTTGTAAGCCAAGGACTTAAAGTCAATTTAGAAAGAAAGACCTTAATCATGTCATTCATCTAGAAAATGTGCATTTAAGACAATTTCAGTATTTAAAGCAAACCAGTATGCATCCTCAGATGTACTGTCCATTCAAGTATGATCAGTACAGGGATTATACTGATTTTGAAAAAAGACCTGCTCCGAAAACTCATACCTAGTTGCTTCCCTGAGAACTGTAGGTCAAGTCCAGCATCCCAAGCAAGATTGGGAGCTTACATTCTTGGATATAAAAGCTTTATCCAGTAAAGCTTCGCAATCTAGGGCCTATAGTTACTTGGAAATGGGACCTGCTCCAATCACTTTCGAAAAATGTAGTTAAAAATAACTTAAAATTCAGCATTCGAGAAACATTCCTGGAAGTTAACATTCTTACACTTATATGTATCATCAATGCAAATTTGGCCAACATGGCTAAGAAAATTAGATTGAATCTGCTTCAAAATCCTTACATCTGTGACATTCATCTGAAAACTGTAGGTCAGATCAAGCATCCCAAGCAAACCTGGTAATAATCATCCTTAAGTCAATGTATGTTCCATAGTTACCTTCAAATGAGACCAACTCCAAAAACTTTAAACTGCTCCGGAAACATTAAGAGGATGTGTTATTTCTTTTAGTCCATTCTAAATCTGAGAAGATTTATATTGAATAAAAGAATGTTTTGTGTATTTTAATGAAAAAACGATGCTCTTTGGAATTTATTGACCTGAATAATTTAGAATCTACACCACTTCAGAGATTTCACTCAAGTTTTTTTTTCTGGTAAGGTAGAAGACCTCACTCAAAAAAGAATTCTAAATATTTTTTTTTTAAATGATGAAAGCTCACACAAATAATAATTGAAACAAGAATATCAACCGTCTCTTTCAAAGTCATAATGTTGTAAGTTCTATGTTCGATGAATGACATTGTTAGCAAATAAAATCATCTATTACTAAGTCGAAGGTTGGTGACGTTGTTACATATTATTGTTATTTTATTAACACACTGATTTTTTTTAAGGATCTTTCACCTTTTCCAATCATTGCAATGGGCTTATGACTAATATGATTAGTTGACAAAGGAAAGGATGCTTACTCTTTCAATGCACGGGATCCCACCTCTGAGGTTTTTGTTCCGTCTCCCATTTGTATTTCTTTATCTCCATGTTTCATGCAGAAAGTTTGAATCACGTTAATATTAGTATATTTTTTCTATGCATTTATTTCTGATTGAGATATGCTTGCATTGATATTATGTGTAACTTAAAAATTCTCTGAATAATCAATTTCACGATCCAAAGCTCCAACAGATCAAAAGATACAGAGAAGATTACAGACTTTGCAGACAGACGGGCACACGGATTCTTCGATAACAGGGGCTTCAACACGAAATGTTGTGACGAAGATGGAAAAAATCGCATGCGTAATCATGCTAAATTTACTTTTTTATTTCACTTTCCCGTTCATATTGGTGTATATTTCTCCTTACTTCCTCTGTTTGAGAAAAAATGTGAGTTTGTCTTCACAATTCTGATAGTAATTTTTTTAATAGAACACGTATCAAAGTACACACTCATAATTACAATGCAGGATCCTTAAAGATATATATTTTAATCTAAAAGTCCCTTATCGATGAAACCGTAGGAGACTATACATATATTTTTCCCTCTCTCTGTCTCTCCAGCCGTCTCTTGCCTGTCCCACTCGGTTTTTCAAACCAAAAAACCTTGCAGTTATTCAGCTGATTTTTTTATATGTGAGTGTATTTTAACAAAAGAACTATTATGGTCTTTTTATGTATTTTTGAAGAGTTTGTGTTTGCTTTTAGATTTTTAAATGAAGCGGTTCATGTGCTTACCCTCATGAACGATACATCAAGTTTTTATTTTGTTCCGCTTGAACTTATTTTTAAGAAATAAGAGTATTTTTTTAAATAGGAACCTAATAATATTTCTTGGTATGGAACTAGTTTTGTTCCATATCTTCAAGTACTTGTTAGTCCCCAAACGGAGAAACCGGTCGGGTTATAGGTCTCATCTTCATCTCATCTGACTGTTCAACTTTTTTTTCCAATTGTCTGTCTGCCTGTTAGTTTTGTGAAGGTAAATTGAAATTTTAAAAGTTTTAAGAGTGAATCATACAAGATAATTATAACAATTAAAAATGAATAATTTCTATGCATGAGTCACTGACAATTTGTCTTTCTCCTCACACATTTGAGTACCATTTGTTGTTAAAAGGTTCTAAAATAAATATAACAAGTCAACTAAATAAAAAAAATATTTTATTCTCTTTCTTATTTTACATTCTCTAATTATTTCTGTTGCATGTCAAATCACATTCAGGGGTACCTTAAAAATTTGCAATCCACCACCTTTTAAATACGCAATTTAGATATTCAAATACAATTTTAAACTTACAAATTTTAATCTAACAAATCCATTAAAATTTAATTAGTTCAAATTCATTTTTGTCCTGAAATGTAATCATCAAACTTCTTCTGGTATTGACGACCTTTGTCTCCTTTTCCTATCCAATAATACATCTTTGCAACCATTTCAAACATTTCAGGAAAATCCTTCGAGAGAGTCTCAATCTCAGACATATAGGTAGATATAGGATATACACACCCATCTAAATTAGAGATACGATACGCATGGGTGTAAAATTGAAATAATATCCATTTAAGGTTCCTCTTTATGGATTCCTGTTGTTCCATTATTTCTTTCCGTAACTCAGAATCCTCTACATCTTCAGTATTGAACGATTCATCGGCAATAGCACGAACCAAGCGACGAATAGCTGTATCAATGGCAAGAGTTGCTAAGCTGACATTTTCCATTTGATACTGGGATAAACTCAGGTCATGGAAAAAAAGAAGCTAACAGGGAGAAGTTTCGTGTTTTCTCTCTCGGTATTCTTAACCAAGCCAACTTAAAATCAACTTTCTAAGGAACCATTTTGAAATTTTTACTTGAGCAACATAAGACAACATCACTGTCGTTGTTTATATCAAACAACTGACGCAATATTCCTCTTGAAATTTTTGTTTGAATTCACCCAGTCCCTATATAAAGAATTCTAAAAAGCTTTTTCTTCCAATCCTTTTTAGGCGGAAGCCGCCTATTGCATTTGCTTTGATGACCTTTTTACCTCTCAAGATGTCAAAGGTCAATTTTGCCCCATGACATGGTACTCCAAACGGATGTATCTTAAACTAAGGGCATACAACCGCTACTCATATTCGACACCCTTCCCAATCTTTATCGTTATTATCATACCAAAAGCGTGTGTTATGACTGAATTTATTTTAACAATTTATTTTGATTAATATTAAAAAAAGTCCAAGAAAATAATAGCCTAATAATAGAAATAATAGTTACTTTAGTACCATTGATACGTTTCACGTTTGAGAGAAGAACGAACGACAGCTCTGTATGTTTAAAACAAAAACAAATGACGTTCAACATCACGGGGTCCTGAAGCGATGTTTAGAAATACTACGAGGGACAAAATAGTTCAAGAAGGTATGATTATATTTAAGAATTAATGACAGGTACATGTATACAGCTACTGATGAACT